CCCCCCCACCAAAAGGTATGCCGACCCCTGCTCTATGTGTTCAAATGACAAGCTGTAAGCAAATGTGTGCTTAATGCATAACACGTAGGCTGCTACCACACTGCAGAAATAAAACAGCCTGACACTACTTTAACTTCCATGGCTCAATGCTATGGAATTCTGGGATTTGTAGTTGGTTGTGGCACCAACACAGAAGGTTAAATATCCCTCAAAACTACAAATCCCAGAATTCCATAGCATTGAGCCATGACAGTTAAAGTGGTGTCAAACTGGATTATTTCTGCAGTATAGATGCAGCCTCAGTGTCATCACCAGGGGCTGTATCTAGGGCTACAGAATTAATGCAGTTTGGCACTGCTTTAACTTCAAGGCTCAGTGCTATGGAATCTTGGGATTTGTAGTTTGTTAGAGCTTTCTGACAGAGAAGGCTAAATACCTCACAAAACTACAAACCCCAGAATTCCATGGCATTGAGATGTGGCAGTTAAAGCAGTGTCAAACTGCTTTATCTCTGTAGTGTAGATGCAGCCTACGTCTCAGGTTTTGGCCCAGAAATTTCAGAGCCTGAACTGGCAGCTCAGAGATAAAAAGAGTTCCAGTGAACTTGTATGCAGAAAATATCATACAAAGACTATGTTTGACTCAGAAAAAGGAGGAGTGAAGCTAGGAGGAAGGAACATTAACCATCTAAGATATGAGGCTGATGCCATACTACTTATCGAAATCATAATAGACTTGGAACAATTACTAAGGAAGGTCAAGGTAGAAAGTGCAAAGGCAGGTTTACTGCTGAATATAAAGAAAAGAAAGATAATGACCATGGAGGATCTACATAAATTCAACCTAGATAATGAGGAAATCTAAATAGTCAAAGTGTTCCCATATCCTGAATCAAACATTGATCAGAATGGAGACTGAAGTTAAGAAATCAGACTAGGAATGGGAAAAGCTTCCATGAAAAAACTAGACAAGATCCTAAAGTGTGAAGATATGCAACTGATCACTAAAGCTAGAAGTGTCCAAGCCATTGTATTTCCCATCACCATGTACAGATGTGAGAACTGGACAGTGAAGGAAGCGGGCAAGAAAAAAATAAACTCATTTGAGATGTGCTGCTGGGGAGGAGTGCTGAGGATCCCATGGACAGCCAAAAACTCAAACAAATGGGTCCCTGGAAGCCAAACTGAGACTTCATGGGAAGGCATGACTCATTAGAAAAGACAATAATGCTTGGAAAAATGGAGGGTAGTAGAAAGAAAGAAAGACTGCATGCCAGATGGCTGGGAGGTCTGGGTCTGAATTTGAAGGACCTAAGCCGATGGAGGACAGGGGATCTTGGAGATGTCTTTTCCACAGGGTCACCATAAGTTGAGGCCAACTAAAGGGCAGTGAAGAACAACAAAGATGTTTACAAGGAGAAGTATGATGCAGCAGCTAAAAAGACCAATGCAATTTTAGGCTGCATCA